TAACGACCTTATTACTGCAAACATTGTCAGCTCCTAGCGGACAATTCAAAACAATAGAGCCCATAGAATTTCATTTCATAGAAAGCATTTGTCGATACAAAGAAGCCCCTTGAATATAATTAATCCCCCTGAATATAAAAAGAGAGTGGCTACTGCGCCCATCTGAGGAGGTCTCTTTTTTGTCATGCCCTATTCCTCGTGTGTCATGCTCTGCGCACGCTATACGAACGACGGCGTATACAGTATACTGCAAGGACAGAACGAGTGGCTCCCCCTCATTTGGACAAAAAGAGCAAAGCGGCAAGTATGGAGCGCCGGCCGCGTCCAGCACAAAAGCGTAGACAGTACGCTGCTCCGAGTGAAGATGATAGCGACAACGGTGACAGCGACGCCGAGTGGACACTGCCATCCGGGGACTCGAGTGTACAGTCGTCGCAAACCTCGAGCCAGTTCGAGACACAGAGCGCCCAAGAGGAGGCCTCCAGTGGAGAGACATCTTGTGCCTTAGCCCCCCAGCTACTTCAGATGCAGTTTGACTCGTGGGAGTCATTCCATGCTTACCTCAACGAGTATATGGCGCAGACATACCAGGTTCGCATCGCTAAGAAATTGTTTAGTTGACAACTAGCCTAATTACTACTGTATGTGTACCAGAGCTTTCGAATTCGTACTAACAACAAGGTCCAGGAGCGCAACCGCAAGATCCAGAAGCAAAATACTTTAGCTCCTCTAATCCCAGAGGAGTGGATCTGGTACAACAAGACCCTTGTTTGTACCCACGCGGGCAAGTACAAACCGCGGGGTAAAGGCAAGCGGCCACGTCGGGAAATACGATCGACTGAGTGCGGTGCACAGGTATGTAGTCATTTATATTTGGGCACAGTTGGGCTAAATACTATCGAGTTGGGCACAGATGGGTGAATTCCCATCGAGTCGGGCTCAGATGGGACACCTGCAACTGGATGTGCTGTAATGCCTTTCGTAATACTGACAAAATATGTGTTCTTCCCTTCAGATAAACGCTTGTGTCCGTGTCGTCAATGGTAGCACAAACGACCCTGTGTTCGCGTTATTCGTCACTACTGCCAAACTGCAGCATAACCATCCCCTGACTCGTTCTAACTACGAGCACTACTCGTCGGTCCGAACGGCACTTGCTCCTTCCATGGTGAAGACGATTGATGTTTTGCGCAAGGCGAAGGCAAAGAAGAAAATATTCTGCAGTTTGTCCTTGAAAATTCAGACTGTAACATGAAAATTCGCGACGTCCACAACCTCATTCAGCGCCTAAAGGATCAAGAGCGTGAAGGAACGACGAGCAAACAGAGACTAAAGACGTGGATGCAAGAATTTGGGGATGAGCCTGGTAATGTGGGTCGCGTCTTTGTGGAGAAGCACGACCAAAAGGTACGTAGATCCTTTTTTATTATGCAGCTCGACTGGTTTTCTCAGACTCCTTGGTTTACATGGTGCTGAATAGAAAATTGCTACATGCATAATACTGCAAACAAAGCACATGCGTGAGCTATTTTCCCGCTTTCCAGAGGTTATGCTTATCGACGCAGCTCATGGAACGAACGCGTCAAAGTACAAAGTGTTATCTTTCATGGTGCATGATGCTTTTGGCAAGGGCCAACACATCAAAAATTTGCTTCGGGTGCAAGGATTCGAAGGGTGTCGCGTCCAAAGCTATGGGAGCCATCTCGGAGTCCAAACAGATAACTACAATTGTGGTATCTATGTTCTAGTCGCCTGCGAGGTGTTTGCAGGTGCACAGTCGCCGGGACTAATCGACAAGAAGACGCTGCAGTATCTGCGCTACAGATACCTTAGCTTGTGCATTTAAATACATTACATTTTTGACCAAACCAGTAGTAAAAGGCGAATGAAAATGCGCTTGTGAGATGTTTCACCCGTAGCTTGCTGTCAGTCCAAGACAGACATAGCCGTATAAGAGTCCGGTTAATCCCGTATAGGAGTCCGGTTAATCGAAGCAAACCCGTATAGTTGCGTGACACGCATCAAAATATTACATTACTGGCTCTTTCGGTAGTTGGGATCAGATGGAGGAATTAACTTTAGCAAGTAGATTGGGTCCAAAATGGAAAAATAAGTAGGTGCGTTTTTCAAAAATAAGTAGATTGACACCAAAAATATAATGCATCATTGCTAAAACCAAATAATCAAATTTAGAATGACCGTTTAAAATTTAAGAACATATATCAAAGTCTTAAAAGTAATATCGTACGATTCGCACAAGGCCACACAGGCCCAATCGTACGATCATACTTATTATTGCTACTGTTGGTACTGCCTAGTATTTCCAGTGGAGCTCACACCCAGGAAACATTGTCCACTTGATCGAGCTAAAAGAAGACATGACCGTTCTACAGCCAGTCCGTTTCGCAACTTCTCCTGGCCAATCAGTTTTTAAACCCCATCGCCTTGCCAGGACGAGGTGCTCACGACCCTTTATTAATCATTTTTTGAGCTCTCGCAAAGACTGATTACGTGCACTGTTAGCCAAGCCAAAATGTCGAGACTGCAAACGTGTCACATTATCTGCAAGAGACCAGCTAACGTCATGTAACACAAGGAGTCGAAGACGATACACCTGCACCGTTGAATGTGGCTGTACCTAGCACCACTACTTCCGAGAAATCGAATGCATCAAAGTCGAAGAGCAGAACACCTGATCGTCACGAATCGTTGCGCGTTAGTTGTGTTGAGCTGGAGGATGTTTCAATTCTCCGAAACCTGGGGTTACTACGAAGTGACTTGAACGTGGGTCTGGAACGAAACGACCTTGAGACGTATGGATCCGTTGTCGATCGAGGGAATAACCTTGCACCAGAGTCATTTGGAACGAAAGCGGTACTGCTACAACGATGTCGAGAGTTTGCTAGTAAAGCTGGGTTTTCCATTCGTGTCGCGACAAATAGCTTTCGCAAGATGAAGAAGGAGGGTAATGCCAGATATGAGTGCAAAGTGTTAAACGGTCAGCAGCAACTGACGCCTGGCACAACTCCCTCTTGTCCATTTTTCATCACGGTGTATGGAATTCGAGACGAATGGAAAGTTACCAAGATGTGTATAGCTCACGACCACTACCGCCACGTTGGTTTTCAAGGGGATTCATTCGTGGAAGGTGATCTAGCAACATCAGGTCTGCGACAGCACAACCGTGATATGTCTTTCGCGACAATCCGCGGAATTGTTGAGCGCGAAATGCTTCCGGCCTACAGCGACGACTGGGCATCCGTGAAGGGTAAAGCTATTCTCGAATTCCTTCTCAGCAAAAACATTGAATCGAATCGTCAGACCGCTTCCCGGATCAAGCGTCAGCTGACGGATGTATTACAAGGAAACATGGAAGAAAGTTATCAGAAATTGGAGTCATATCTGTCTATTGTGGCGACAGAGAATCCTGGTTCACACTATGGCTTTGAAAAACATTCAAACGGCGTTTTCAAACGAGCGTGTTTTTTTCCGAGCTCCTGTTTGAAGGCATTGCAGACATGTCGTCGTATCATTGGTCTGGATGGAACTCACCTTAAAAAGGAAATGAACAAGCGAGGTGTGTTTCTCCTAGCTACGGCTAAAGACTTAAATGGCCACTTAATTGTTTTCGGGCTGGGATTGGTCGACCAAGAGGATGATCTGAACTGGCGCTGGTTTGTACAGCACATGAAAGAAGCCATCGGTGGATCTGGTGGAGAGCCCTGGAAACCTGCATTTCTATCGGACCGACAGAAGGGTCTGCTGTCCGCAGTTTCCAAATTGTATCCTGGTTGTGGTCATCGCGTATGCGTTCGTCATGTCATTACGAACGTGGAAAAGAAAACCTCCTCGCTGGCGCCTGGCGAGAGAGCCTTGATTTTTCAGATGGCACGCAGTGAATGCAAGAAAGATTACGACTTCTACAGCTCAAAGCTGGCTGATACACGCCCTCAAGCAGCCGAGTATCTGAGGAAGATTATGAAAGAACACTGGGTCACGTATGCATTCAGCGAAACGTACGAGCAACCGACGTATGACGAGATTACCTCCTATTTATCGGAATCGGCTAACCAGTGGCTTGGAAATGCTTGTCGGTCTGCATACCCAATGAACGCGTTCGAGCAATACTTCGTGAAAGTCGTAGAACTCTTCGCATCTCGCCGCAAAGAAACTACTCGTTTAATCAAGAATGTCGGTGAACTTCAACACTCAAATACCGATGGGGCTTGTGCAAAGGATGGTGAGACCGATGCTAGCTCTTCAATATCTTACGACCAGCTGGCACCATTCCACAAGGACAATCTGAAAAAGATGCTTGCCGTTTCAAAAAGTCTTAAGATTCTTCCCTGTTTGAGCGGCCAATATATGGTGCGCTTTACGGACGTCAGCCAGAGATTGGATCACGTTCACTTGTGGCGAACGGTAAACTTGGTTGAGAAGGAGTGCACATGTAGACGGTGGCAAGACACAAAATTCCCATGCATTCACGCCTTAAAAGCGGCCGTGTATCATGGCATGCACATTAC